CCTTAAACGTTTAATAAGAGTCCCTTGAAAGAGACTTTCACTCTGTCTAAATATTCCCATCAAATATGAGGTCAGATGTCAGATTAACGGAAGACTTAAAGGGTTTTCTCAGCTATAATATGGACATGTATTCCTCTGGAGACTTGCTTTGTTCAAGTACTTTTATGATTTCTTCTTACCACTTCCATGCTGGAGAAAAGAGATGCTTTGTATGGCCAAAAAATAGGGTTTAGTTTAGTTCAGTGGATCAGAAATATGTATTTCAATGGGCTAAAATGTTGTGAAGATGCAAACTGTTATCTAAATGCTACATATTTTTACTGTTTTGACACAGTGAAATTAAGAGCATTTCAGTTGGCAAATCTATTCTACCCTTTAGGTGACACAATGGATTCAGATCTAAATGATGGATATATGTAAATCCAGACATGCTTGGAGACATACATGTTACAAGACAAACATTAGCACTTAAAACCATTGCATAGATTTAGGGTAATCCCTGGAGGGTTTTAATTCCTAGGATCGCCATATCCTAAACTAGCAGTAGTTCGAGGTGACAAGTCACAGCCAGAGAGCAGGTGTGTAAGACAGGCCTGTCACTTTTCAGACATTTATGGAACTTGCCAGTATACTGAAGTCCATCTGCTTTCTTTTCAAACTTTCTACTGATCTGCTACAGCTGATTATCAGTGCCATTTAGACTAGACCTGAAAGGGAGGGAGAATTTTAAAAGGTATGAGTTAATTTCCTTTTAATTTTGCTTCCCTTTAACTGGGAACTTTACTCTTTTTTTAAAACCATGGAGAACTTGATGGAATTATATCCTCTTTTGTCTTTGTGTGATCTCCTGTATAGCATTTCTGGAAGACCTGGTCTGAGATAATCTATTGCTGAACAGTCTTTGAAATGTGTCTTATACCTAGTCTTCCCCTCTAAGACCTAAAATGTACCATAGATACTGTTAATCCCTTTATATATTACAGATACAATCAAAATAACAGAATTACTAAGGAGGCTATTCTGTTTCTGGAACAAGGCAATTTCAACTACCATCACGCTCTTCAATTACCCCCTGAATGAGAGTAGCTATTATTTGACACTGACCACTTATTTGAAAAGTTGAAAACTGGAAACAGGCAGATCTGCACCGGGAGACCCACATTACAGACAGGAGAGGATTTAGATTGATTGCCAATGTGCCGACAACTGTGGATCTCTGACAATAGGATTTAGCTTGAGGTGCAGATATACATATGACATTCTTTGTCATATACTTCCATTCTTGCTATGTCCCTCTACTGCAGAGGGTGGTACTCCAGTTCTTAATTAACTTAATTGGTCCACAGTGAACTTAAACTGTTCAAGAGGTAAAGATGGATGTCATTTTTCATTAAGAAGACAAGCTTGATATTTTTCTTAAGACATACTATAGCAATCTTCATTGATTCTCACAGTTTAAGATGTAATAAAAGAGCAGCAGATTAAAAGGTTAACTACTTAAAAGGACACAACTGTTTGATGCTGTATTAAGAGATAGGTAAACAGTAACAATTACAAATTAATTCCACTCTGCGACTTGTATTAATAATGCTAGAATTAAAAATTAAAAAAAGCCCTTTAAGTTATGTTTACTCATTTTTCAAAACATTCACAGTCTTAAAACATCAGTGGTATAAATATTACATGAAGACAAAAGAGCATCAGTTTAACTCCATGAAGTCCTGGAGGCAGACTTTCATAACAATAATGATCAGGCTATCACATCTTGGACGTTCTACAGAGTATGTTTTTACACTAGGTATATCTACCTATGTAAAAACCCAGGCAAATATAGCTGTCAACATAGCTATAGATACACATACACAAAACCCCTATAGACAAGTTTACTACAATGTTTTACTGGATCCCAGATTTGAAATCCGAGATCAACTTTTTAAGCTAGTGTTTGTAGAAACATTATTTTATTTTCTTGTGGTGGCATATCACATTTGTCTCATTACATTAATGACTCAAAGAACAAGTTGTTATCCAGGCAACTAATTTATAATCAATACTTTCAGACATAATTTCTTTGAAGCTGTATCTGTACAGTCAACTGATATCTTGTAAAAGGCATATATTTGTTCTATAGATAAATGTGAGGTCAGATACAAAACCACTCACATTTTGGATAGAATAGTTCAGACCCCTGAGATGGGAAGTAGTTTATACTTCAGCACATCTTTAATTTACTGTATTTAAACTACTACAAAAATAAACTAAGCTTATGTTCTTGCTTTGAAAAGTTATGGGCATTTTCATGTCTTTCAACATAGTAATGTCTTCAGTTGATTACAAGTAAGATTGGAAAACAAATCCTTTAATGACATATCTGCTACAAAATATTGAATACAATCACACATTGCTCAGCAAGGCTGCTGATGAAGTGAAACAAATGCAACACATCAAATGTTTCCATGAAAAACATAATTAAAGGTTTTCTGGTATGCACCTTAATGGGATACAAAGAATAAATCACATTAAAATACTGTTAAGACACTAACAACCCAATTTCACGTGGAACTCCAACTCCTGAAAGGTTTGACGGGCATTTACAATTTACTGTTCTCATTTACAGAAATGATTTGCAGATCTAAATGAATATTTTCTCTTTCCTTTTTTTCTTTGGGTCAAACTAGCCACCTGTTTATTAAAACAATTCACTGCAAAACCAAAGAGGTCATTTCAGGATAAAACCTCCATCATTGCTAAGAGTAACCCAAACAGGGTGCCGAGTTGGACTGTTCAGGGTATGAAGTGACATCAGGTAATGTTTGGTTCTTCTAAGATTCTATATTCTTTGAGCTAAAACATTCTAAAGACTAAGGTCTAAAGAAAAACCTTTTCTTGGAATGTACATTAACAGTTGTTTATATTTCTACATCATTATGTTTGATTTATGGTGTCCAGCTGTGTTGATAAACTTTATGCATAGAAATGTGTATACTAACCAATCTACTGCCAAAATACCAAAGAAATAACTCCTCTGTCAGTAGCTTATGAATTCATAAGTTAACTCAAAGTAATATTCATAGGATAAAGCTCATTTTAGTCTTCCCCTATTTTAGAGCAACAAATAGTTTCTCTCAAATTCCTAATTTTCAGCAGGGGGGAATATTTTAATATATGACTTAGAAAAAGAATGAATAAAAACAGCAGTGGATATGTTGATGTGGTATCACCTCACTAAATGATGCTTAGGAACAATTGTTGCTTCTCTAAAATTAAAATACACTTCATACCTAAAACTAGTATCCGTTAAAAATACTAGAGTATCTGCTGTTCCCATTGAAATCATTGGAAAAAGTCCTATTCATTTCAATGAAAGAAGGGTTCCTTGACAGAACAAGGAGTAATCGTCTCAAGTTGCAGTGTGGGAGGTTTAGGTTGGATATTAGGAAAAACTTTTTCACTAGGAGGGTGGTGAAGCACTGGAATGGGTTACTTAGGGAGGTGGTGGAATCTCCGTCCTTAGAGGTTTTTAATGTCAGGCTTGACAAAGCCCTGGCTGGGATGATTTAGTTGGGGATTGGTCCTGCTTTGAGCAGGGGGTTGGACTAGATGACCTCCTGAGGTCCCTTCCAACCCTGATATTCTATGATTCTAAAAATCAGTGTTGTTTTTTATTCCCCTAAAATCACATAGCTAAGAGAAAAGTTGTTATAGTATATCCTACGCTATTCTGATAAGTTAGAAAGCGGGGGAAGTAAATAGGTATTAAAAAATAAAAGCTGCTATCACCAGGGAGACCTTTTATTTCTGCCCAATTAAATAAAATGGCTTTGCTAATAGCATAGCAGATAACTGGCCAAAGCATAAAATGTAAAGCAAGTAAAATCCATAAAAGGCTTGAATGTAATATTCTGAGATTACAAGCAGATCTTATGGGTAAAATCTCAGTGCTAAGTAAGCATCATGTCTCAATCACAGTTCTAGTTTTGAGGAGTTACCATGTGCAGTCAACATATTTAGTGTCACCTTTGTTACTCTATATAATGCACACCATCTGTTTCTGCAAGTGGGGACACAGAACCAAGATGAGAGCTTGTTCTGTTGTAATTGGCTTTCCTTATACAGAATATTAGTGTATGCCCCGGTAGGAAGTTTTCCAAGATTATTACTTTTCTTGCAAAGCCATAGTTTTCTAAACCTGACATATGCAAAGTGTGGTCCATAGGCCACCAGTAGTCCACAAAGCTTTTGTTGTCATGTGGTGCACCTCTGCTTCCTTCTTTAAAGTGATTTCTACAGCCACCCAGCCTCTTTATAGGCCAAATCCTCCAGTCTTACTCATGCACAGCTCCCACTGAAATCGGGGACTGCAGAATATGGTCCATATTACTAGAGCCAGGATGCAAGCAGATGCAGCTGTTGAAGAAGCAAAGGAGGATGGACAAGCTTAGCAGCTTCCATTAGGGGCCATGCAAGCATAAGAGGAGTGAGGTAAGAAACCAGGGGCAGCTTTAGCTGTGGTCCATGGGTGAAATTGCACCCACAGAAATCAGTCAAAACTGAATGATGCTCTGACACAGCGCACACAATGCCACTCACACAAATTTGCCTAAACCACCCCTCTGTCAGGCAGGTGTGATGTCAGACCAAATTTCAATGAGTGGTGTTGCTCACAGTGCCACTCAGGTTTGGCTCAGCTAATCTCAGTCATGACAGAGGGAGAGCTGGGTCAAATTTGAATGAATGGTGTTTCAACCTGCTGCATGGGGTCACAGTGATGCTCAGATTTGGTGCCTACCATCAATAGTGTAGGGAGCAACTCGCCCACCCAGGCAGGGCCCAGATCTTACTGTCGCCATCACTGTCATCGTTATGTTAGGTCCGAGGCGACCTGCAGGCCAAGAGACCGGAGTGGGATTACACGTACTGCTTCCACTGGCAGTAGGCCCTGAACGCAAAGAGAGGCAGGATCAGGAGCAGCCTCAAACAGGACAGAATCATCCCATCACCACAGGGAGGCCAACGACCCCACAGATCTGGGCCCTCTCTGACCTCCCCATCTCCACAACCATTGAATTGGGAGGTGACATCCTCCTACTAAGAAAGTGTGACTTCCAGTGGGACCAAAATAATCCACAGAATGAGACAACAGCTGCCTCAACAAGCTACCGTCTTGAAGAGTGAGACAAGGGAAAGCAGTGGTGCGCAACAGAATGAGAGCTACACAGGAGAGTGTGTATCTGAAGTAGCACATCTACACGATACAGGATATCAGCTACAAGCATTCACCTTTCTGTGGAGCTCAGATGACCTGAACAGTACAGGAAGCCTACAGGGCAAGCAGAGGAGATTAGTAGACCTATGGAAACAGAAATTAATGACTTCAATGTCCAGTAGAGTTGATCAAAAATGGAATTTCCATCCTGCAGGAAGTTCTGATATTTCAACTTTGTTTTTTGGCATGATTTGGGATAAAAAGTCAAAATATCAAAACTTCACAAGAAATGAAAAATTTCAAATTGGGAATGTCAAAAAGTTTGGCTTTAGAAATAAAATGTTTCATCTACAGATTGTTTGACATTAATTTGTGTCCAGTGACCTCCCACGGTGCCTCATGGGAGTTGTAGTTTAGGTGCCTCATGCATCCATTCTCCCATATTGGTCAGGCTCTCCAGCAGGATATTATCTCCCAGGATGCCCTAAAGCAGCTCAACTAGAGGGGTGATCACAGATTTGTGTCAGATTGACCCCATATAAAAGATTTAGATGGGGGGCAAAGTGAACTTAGACATTTTTTTTTCTCCTGCTGATAATAGCTCACCTTAACTGATCGCTCGCATTATAGTGGGTATGGCAACACACATTTTTTCATGTTTTCTGTGTATCTCTATCTCTTCCTACTGTATTTTCCACTGCATGCATCTGATGAAGTGGGTTTTAGCCCACGAAAGCTTATGCTCAAATAAATATATTAGTCTCTAAGGTGCCACAAGTACTCCTCGTTCTTTTTGCTGATACAGACTAACACGGCTACCACTCTGAAACATGAGACATTTCTGTTAGGAAAAATCAAGTAATTTTGGCAAAACTGGCATTTTCACAAGAAAAACGCTGACTTTCTTTAAACCATATTTTCTGTCAAAACACTGGGAGCAAATTCCCAACTAACTCTATTATTAACCGTATTTGTACAAATTCACTAAAAACTGAAGCTACTACAAGGATGACAGGGCGTCATTACTGTGAACTTCCTCTCACAATGCTGTTCATTACCTCCATAAACCAAAACTGGGCCTTCTCCCTGAGCTTGAAATCTAAAAAAATGGGTGCATGCACAATTTTTTTTTTCTCAATATACAACTTTGATGTTAGAATGTTACATAAAATGTATGTATCACTGTTCTGTTCTGTGCAATGCATGAAAGAAGAAATGGAAAGCTGCATTTCTTTCATTATATAAGGTCTCTTGCTAGACTGAGTTCACAGTCAAGTAGATAAGGACCTATAGATCACAAAACCATAATGATGAGACAACCTCCGGGATTTTGAGGGATTTTAATCCTTTTAAACTATAATTTGAGTATAAAAAAACTAATCAGAATCCTTGATCCTTTCTTTCACTTAAATATCAACACATATATTTTTATTCCCAGGATGAATCCATTTATCATTATTAAAACAAATCCATGTTTTTCTTATTATATGGAACCCAGTGCTATGTTCTAGAATTAGAATGGAACATACCACCACCACCAGCATCCAGATTGGCACAAATGGTAAATATACAATGTTTTATTTTTCATTGAATTTTTTCTTTCCCCTTCCTCACCTTAATCCCAAATTCCTCTGCAGTTTTGCACTTTGCCCAGTCTGTTCCCTTTTATGGCTGACTTTTTCCAATGACTCAATTTTATACTGCAAAATGGAGCTGAGCTTTAATGATATCAGCGCATAACCATCTGGTAATCAGGTCCCCTGACTCAGTTGAATTTATTCAGTAGAAAGGACCAAAGATTGTGTTTGAAAGTTCAACTCAAAGTCAAATAAAACTGAGTTCACATTCTGCTTATTGGACACTGTGACAAAAGCAGTAGGGAGGAAGAAATCCAGTAGAAAAACTAGGATGTAAAAATAGAGGAGAATGAAGAAAATGAAAAACAAACAAAAATATTTCTAATTTAAAAAAAACACCCTACATGAATGCAGATATGTGTGAAACTTCAGAATGACTCTGAACTACAGTGGAAAAAGATGGCAAATGTTGTCCACAGTGCAGATTGGATCACTGCTGAGGAACAACTGTTGTAACCAGATCTCCCACCACAGCTAAATTTGTAAAATACAAAGGGGCCTTAGAGTAGGTTAGAAGTTAGGCAAAATGAGTTTGCTCAACCTTAGTTTCTAGGGTTAACAAGCCCTACAGCTTTATTTTCCAAAACCTTAATTAAAAGCAGGAAAAAATAATTTAGGCGCTGATGTTCAGAAGTGGCTCCTCTCCATTTCTGTGCTCAGAAGTAACTGGGGGCAAAAATAACTGCAGATGCAATTGATAGCCTAATCAGACAGTCACAATCAGGTAGTTGGGCATTTAAGTGCTATAAAATGCTCCCACAATTATTTGTGCTACAATGAATTTGCAGAAAATCAAATGTGAAGTTGGGATGATTCTAATAACCATGGCCTTAATGTTTTATTCATCATTAAACCAAGGAACAAAAATCTTAGATTCAGCTAGAAGGTATCCCCTGAATATTCTTGGATGCACTGTAACATATATTTAGAAGTAGCATGAGAGAAGGTCTTTATCATTGATATCCTGTGGCTTTTGTTTTTGCTACATGCCGACTTATATAAATGGGTTACTATCACTGTAGAATGGTGTAGCATGCAGCATACTGCAAATAGTCTCTGAACTGTTCAATAATAGCCCATTTCAAAGCCAGGAATTAGAGCTTCTCTGAATGTGAATAATAGTTCTTTTCTGCTTGGCGGGGGGCAGGGGATTTGGACTCAAAGCCTATTACTCACAAATAGATTTGGTCAGGAACTGAAATTTATGTTCTGTGGAAAATTCTGATATTTAAAATTAAAATTGCTTGATTGGGAACAAAAAGCCAATTTTAAAAAAAATAGTTAAATGAAAAGTCCCTAAAAATTAGATTCAGGAATATTGAAACATTTCATTTTGATAGTGGCTTTTCAATTAATTTTTGTAGCTTTTATATTTATATTAAAATATTACAACTAATATTTTAATATGATATAAAAATCAAATGACACTACTGAAATGAAACCATATAAAACTTTAATTGTAATGGACATATTCCCATGAAACATTTTGAGCTTCAGAAAACTGCATTTTTTGATTGAGAATTATGCCATCACAATTTTTTGACCAGCTTGCCCACAATGAATTTCTTTGACACTGATAAAATATTGCCCTTCAGCCAAAGTATAAATGAGCAAAAGAAATATCTGGCTAACTGGGAATATACCACCATGGGTAGGGGTAGATAAATTATCCATCAGTTTCACCAAAACCTCCTGGTGGCTTTTACTCCAGTGGTCTTTCTGAATTTGAGATAAGTGGTAAAAGTTCCTTTTGCCTTACCTCTGCCTCTTTCCATGTTCATTAAATTTATTTGAAAGGTCATATAAAGGTTTTAACAATACAAGAAAAGTCCTGAATGAGTACACAATAGTATCTTGGGAAACCCATTAGCTTTTGTATCCCTTATACAATTTCTGGTCTTTTTTACTTCATATTCTGAATGGTTGCTAGCTCACTACTTTGATTTCATATTAATCTTCATAGATATCCAACTCCTCTCTTGGAAAGAGGTTAAAGATAATAATTAATGTGTTTTAATTTCTCGCAAACATTTAAAAACTTTCTTTATCTCTTCGGCATGCTGACTGCCTTGCTATGCACCAAGCTACTATCTAAAAACGGGATGCATATATTTTCTATTCAGTTCTGGAAAGCTGCTTGTGCATTTATCAACCCAAAGGGAATGCAAGTTCAGGGAACATCTTCTAGATGTTACAGATGTGATCAGCTTCTGGACATCCTCACTCATTAGAAATTTTGAATAAAGTTAAACCATTAATTTCCCCTTAAACCAGTTCTTGCATTCTGGATAGTTGGTTTCTATCTAGTACAATTTTACAGTCTCAATCATGCAACCTTTTTTTCCATACATATATTAAAGAATACAGAGAACATGACAGTGTTAGTCATTCTTTCAATAAAAATTTCCAGTGTAGCTTTTGATCTCCCAGAGGAGTCAAGGAATGATGCCATAAGCCCAGTGAATAGGGGTGATATTAATAGACCTGGTATTCTTGTTTGGAAGTATACCTCTCCATTTTAACCCTTTTTGGAAAAAAACAACAACAGTTTATCATTGTTTTAAACATGCTTCTTCAAAATGAAGCACTGGATTCTTCCTCAGTTGCGCACATACACCTTAGCCGACTAGTAATTTATACATACTTCTAAGCAGGAGTTAAAGTGATGAGGAGGGGGAAGTACAAGCCTCTCCTCTGCTAAAAGCAGAGGAAGAGTTTCCCCTTTTCTCTGGCTGGTGTGGGGACTGATATTTGTACAATGCCTAGCACAATGGAGCACTGATCTTGGATGGTCCCTAGGCACTACCATAATAAACATGATTAATAACATTGAAAACTCCTCCTCTTGTCTTCATCTATTTTAACTACTGCCCCTAATCCATGCCATACCCTTGGGATGTGATGCACAGGCTGATGTGTTAGCAGCCCTTATCTCTTTGCATTCACAGCTATGGGAAATTCTGCCCAGATTGCATTCCATCTTTGATGAGGATGGGATTGCTGTTATCTGTTGTGTATATTTTCAGTTGTTATATTTTTTACAATCTTTCTATTTCTTCTTTGAAACAATTTTTACATATTTCATTACTTTCTGTAATTATTAGACATACAAGATATTGATATCACATAAAAGTTAGATTTGATCTCGTAAGAAAACAGATGCTATATTTAAAATGATTTAAGAATTCTGTTCTTTTATGTTAAGAAATATATTTTATGTCTTTGATAATTATAAATGGAATGTTAATTGATGTGCTGTTCAGATAAATTATTTATAATTGTGTTTGAAGATATGTTAACGAGTTTCTGAAACAGTTTGGAAACTATAACAAAAACAATAGCTATAGTGCACCTGGACAACTTTAATCATTTCTCAACATATCACCTGCAGTGCCACAGCAACTAAATATAATGGAATCTATGTATTTTGTATTAAACTGTGTAAACCAAGCCCCCATTCTGAAGTTATTTGGCACAGGTGGACTCTTGTGCCTGTGCTTAACCTACCTTCTTTCAATATAACTCTTCATAGGTCCAGCTGGCAGAAATTGCAGGATTGGGATCTGTCATGTTAAAACACGTGTTCCATTATGCTAGGGGATTTCAGCATTAGTTTAGGCACTGAAGATCAAAAGTTGCTAGGTCAAATGGCAATTAGGAAATATTTTAAAATTTAGATGTAAATATTTTGTTTCCCCTTCATGAACCCAATGTTCCCTTCATTAAACCTAGGGAAATTCAGAAGAAATAGAAAACCAGTATGCTCAACTACAGTTCTGCTAAGTCTTAATACTGACTCCTCTGGCTAGCAAACTTTAATTTCTGCCTCAAGATAGGACGCCAGTCAATCAGAGTAAATGAGAATATTCTAAAAAACTATATAGGAAGCATTGGTAATTTAAAAAGAATTTTCAGGAAAGAGCAAATCACTCACTATATTTTAATTCAGTATAAAAACTACAGTAGGCATCTCCCATGCAGACCGTGCTCCCCCCTCTAACAAATATTATTGGCAAGGAGATCTTGGAGGAAACAAATTGTGCCTCAGTTGATATTTCAAGGTATGCCATCTGGAAAAAAGATAAAACCAAAATAAGTGTCTAAGGGTTTCCTATGAAGCACAACTCCTCCCAG